AATTTAAAACCATATGAAGTCTGCAAGCAGGTTAGACTCAAAAGTGAACCTATCAATCATGACAGTGTACCATGAACAGTCTGTGGGAGCCACAAGCATGGCTGGTCAACTCCTAAATCGCAGCCTATGTCTCTAACTATTGAGTGAGGATAAAACCATCAACTGTAAGTTGTTGTTGGGTTTTTTTTTTTTGGGTGGGGAGGGTAATTGCTCGTCAAGCTTAAGGTTCGTGGGAAGGAGGAATGCAGCAGAAATTCTGTATTTGGATTTTAGGAAGGCATTTGATTATCTCAAAAACTTTCTCCCAAAATGACTATAAAATGGTTTGCACATGGACACTGTCATGTAGACTGAAAACTGGCTATAGAATAAAAATCCAAGGGGGTAATGAAAAAGAGCAATGTCTCAAGCGGACGATGTCTGGAGACAGCGGTGGGGAAACCACAGGGATGTGTGTTAGGTCCAGTATAGTTAACACAATTAAAGTTCCAGAAGAAGGAGTAAACAGTACATCAATTAAATCTGAAAATGGTACTAAACTGTGAGGAACTGCAAACACCAGTGAGGTGGGTCTTTCAATCGTTCCTGATGAAACTGTTCTACTTTGTATTAAATATTCACTGGACTGAAGAATTACTCTATAGGCCAGTGGTTAGGGCACTCACCTGGGATGGGGGAGAGTCAACTTCAAGTTCCTGCTCCAATGACTACTTCAGTATTTCATGCTAAATGGAACAGCTTCATCAGAAACAAGGTTCAAATCCCCCCTCTGCCTGAGAGGAGCAGGAACTTACTGCAGATCTCCCACCTCCCAGGTGAGTGCCCTAACCACGAGGCTTCAGGGCTAAAGAGGGTGACACCACCACCGCCTCCTCCATTTTTTGAGAGAAAGCATTGACCTGGCTGAAGCTCCTGGCTGTGATCCCCGAGTGGAGAAAAACCTTTTTCTCCAGTCCAAAGTCGGAGAGGAGTGGGACTTGGGCCACACCTCTCGCCTCAGCATTTCCTATTGGCTATCTTAGGCACCAATCAATTCAGCTTGCTGGCTTCTGTAGATATCCTTTTTAGGCACTTAACTCTTCCCATGCATTGGGCCTAACTTGCAGTTGTGGATTCTACTAGGTGGAAGAACATCTAAATTTAGGCATTGCAATCCTGAGCCCACGTCCCCTTTGTGGATTTAGCCCCAAAAGTGAAACCAACCACTCTGTTTTCATCTTCCACACTCAGTGAGAAGTCAAAAGAAAACAGAATATTAATGGAGAAAAATAAATTACATTTGTTTTAAAAGGCTTTTTTAAAGTATGATTTTCAACCTGACAGAGTCCCTTTAACACTTATAGCTGTTATTTTCACCTAAACAGATCTCTGCAGGTTCTTATCCTGATGTTTCCCCACAACCATAGGTATGAAAAACTTACTTGAATATTGCCACAAAAGTAGCAATTCTCCAGCTCCAGCGCCAGCCATAACGGATGAATCCCCGGATTGCAGCACGATGTGCAGATTGCTATGTGGAGAATGAGAGAAGGTTACAGGTCATAAACTCACTGTCATTTCACTGCACACAGATGATACTTGAGACACTGGCATTCCATTAAGATTACCCATCTTGATAGTACTCAAACTGATGGAATTGATACACTGGTTCCATCTTAAGGGGAAACAGCCCCCATTTCTCTCAGCCATTCAACAGGAAAACTGAGAATTAATTTAAATTTTTAATTCCAATTGGTATTTCCAATCCTAGAGCTGAAGGCAGGCATCTTTCAGAAAAGTAATGTCTTTTATGACACTGGCAGTGCAGAAACCTATTGGGACAGAAACTTGAAACTAGTTTCTAACTGATTTTAACTATGGGTTAATAGTCATTAAATAACTAAGGGCACGTCTTCACTATTGGGGATTGACTTATCGCGTCTAGTGAAGACGCGATAAAAATCGATCCCCGGTGGCTCTGCCGTCGACTCCGGAAATCCACCGTGGCAAGAGGCGGAAGCGGAGTCGACGGCAGCACGGCAGCGGTCGACTCGCCGCCATCCTCACAGCCAGGTAAGTCGACCTAAAATACGCATACGTTATTCACGTAGCTGAAGTTGCGTATCTTAGGTCGACCCCCTTTCCCCCCGTAGTGTAGACCTAGCCTAAATGATAACCATTTGGCTTAAACATTAAGAAGGACCCTCAAGCAGTGTACTTTAGGCATACCATTTAAGCTTTGTATATAAACAAGGTTTTACAAGATGTAATATTAATAGAAATCTCATGAAATTTTAAAACATTCCAATTAAGATTGCTTAAATCCAACACCCTCTTTTGCAGCGCTTGCAACCCACATGCTGTAGCACGGGTGCAAACGTATAATCGCCTGAAACAGACTAGAAACACAAAGAGAAACTGGGTGCTCTAGTTTTTTTGTGGAAGCTGAGCAAAATGCTAAAACTAAATAAATACTATAAATGATTAAAAGTATGTTTAAAGTCATTTCTATTTTAATTTCCAAATTACTAACAGAAATAAGATTTTTTTTTTTAAAGAGTCCTTTTAAAGGCATGATCCAGTGAAATAAGCGGCAGAACATCTAAATGTAGGCATTGCAATCCTGAGCCCACGTCCCCTTTGTGGATTTAGCCCCAAAAGAATCCACAGCTGCAAGTTAGGCCCAATGCATGGGGAGAGTCAGGTACCTAAAAAGGATATCTACAAAAGCCAGCAAGCTGAATGGATTGGTGCCTAAGCTAGCCAATAGGAAATGCTGAGGAGAGAGGTGTGGCCCAAGTCCCACTCCTCTTTTTTGTAGCTGGATGTAATGAATAATTGTAATTGTATTCTGTCAAGTGTTAAATAAAACAAAAAATGCTGACAAGCAAAGAAGAAGTTACCAATCTGACAGCCTCATGATGCAGATTATGAGAGAACCTGGTTGCCATTAAAACACACTGGAAATTAGAGACTCAACATTTTTGTAAGCCATTTTTTGAAATAATAGAATTTGCCTAATTTAATAGCTTAAATATAACTGAGTACATAAGCATGCAGAATGTGAGCATAACTCACCACTTAATTGAGGTACATAATTACCACAGATGGTTACACAAATTATATATGTATGAATATAAATCGAAGAGTTTGGTAGTTTGCAAATGCAATCACAGTAACTGTGCATGAAAATTACGTAGGTAATTACCCCCACATTTTGCACACTTACCTGTATTAAAAATATCTTGCCCTTTAAATCTGACTGCCAACGGGAACTGAATTCTCTGTTGTACACTAGACCTCCAAATGAGAAGTACCATACAATGCTATAACTTTACAACGGTAGCACCCAGTAAGTGACACAGCAGCCCAATTTCTTAAATTTGCAACCACAAGCAGTGCCAATCTAAAAATTCATATTTAAATAAGGATGTTTTTCTTTCAAGTTTTAACATTTTGGTCTAGCACAGCAGGTCAATCTGTCACCTGAAAAAGTTGGCCTGATTAACAGCCAACATGTAGAGCAGGGGTGGGCAAAGTACGGCCCGCGGGCTGGATCCAGCCCCTCAGGGCTTTGGATCCAGCCCATGGAATTGCCACCCCCATGGCGCCGCGAGGCTAAGGCAGGCTCCCTTCCTGCCCTGGCCCTGCACCACTCCCAGAAGCAGCCGGCACCACGTCCCTGCGGCCCCTAGGGGAGGAGGGGGTGGCAGAGGGCTCTGTGCGCTGCCCTGGCCTGCAGGCACCGCCCCTGCAGCTCCCATTGGCTGGGAACGGGGAACCGCAGCCAATGGAAGCTGCGGGGGGCGGTGCCTGCAGGCCAGGGCAGTGCACAGAGCCCTCTGCCCTATCCCCCAAAGGCCGCCGGCCACTTCCGGGAGCAGCAGGGAGCCTGCCTTAGCCCCACTGTACGCTGCTGCCACCCTGGAGCTGCTCCCGGTAAGCGGTGCCAGGCCGGAACCCACATCCCAACCCCCTGCCACACCCCGCACCCCTCTATTTCAGGCTCTTTGCTGCTGAAAACAGGCTCCACAAAAAAGGAGCAGTTTTGGTTCCAATATGCATGATTTTGGTCCATACCACAGCATCCAGACGGTTCTGAAAAATCTCCGCTTGGCTCCGCTCAATATATTGTGTCTTCGCGTGCTGAAAAGCTGGCAAACCTCCATACACCCAGCCAATGACAGCCCCTGAAAACGTAGCTTTGATAATGTTGAGAGTTTCTTCTGGGTACTGCTGTAGTTCACTAGCACAAAGAAACAATGTTACTGGGAGATTTAGCATTTGGGAGCACTGCTAACCTAACAAGAGTCATTCCTGCTAAAACATATCATGCATGGGACCATTTCAGACACTACTCTTCAAATTATTGCATTTACAGATTAAACTCATAATCTGCCATCAGCATTAAGCAAACAGGTAACATTATATTTTTTTAAATCCTTCTTGGGCAGGACTGGACAGCTAAAGCGAATGGGACACAGAGTCTTTCACCTTTCCTTCACAGGTTCTGTTGTAGTCAAGATCAGTAGTGTCCAAAAATCCATTGCCTCTAATGGCTGTTTGGAGGTCTACGTGAAATGAATTGGTGGGTCTCAAGGTATTTAAAAACCCACACCCCTAACAAATGTCACTCAAGGGAAGTCTCAGCAAAAAGGCTAAGGACTGAGTGAAACCTAGAGACTGTGCTTTCTCATTCCTAGAATGAAAGGGCAATACAGAATATCACAAAGGTAGTGTTGCCAGCTATCATGATTTTATTGTGAGTCTTGTGATATTGGGTGTTATTCTTAAAGCCCCAGTTCCTGGAGTCAGGTGATCACAGGAGAATCTCAGCTTTTGTTTTTAAAAGGTAAGTTTCTAGCCCTCCGGGTGGTGGAGAAAAGGTCAAAAACATGACTCAAATGCCCCCCAAAATCTCAGAATCCAGACAGCGAATTAAATGGTATTTAAATCAATCTCATGATTTTCCAGTGCTAGGGGTTGGCATAAGCCATACTCACCCCAGAGAGGAACATGATCAGTACTAGCAGGTTGCTAGTTTTGTTTCCCCGCCTGATGGAAACAGTGCTATTTTCCCTTATAACTGTTACTTTATGTACTAGTCGTGAATTTCCGAGTGTGCAGGTCAGACTGGGTGCACATCCAGATAACTGAATGATTTACCAACGGGTGTCACACCAGGCAAAGGTGTGAATGGCTGTGCAGGATGAGCACTGGGATGAGGAGGCCAGGTAACCACAGCAACATGTGTGTGTGTAAGATGGGCAGATAGATAGTGTGTGGGAGATAGCTGGATAGGAGGGAATGCATGGAAGACTGGATAGATAATCACAGCCAGGGGCGGCTCCAAGCACCAGCGCAGCAAGCGAGCGCCTGGGGCGGCAAGCTGCAGGGGGCGGCGTGCAGGTCACCATGAGGGCGGCAGTCAGGCAGCCTTGGGCGGCATGTCCCGCGGCTTCAGTGCCGAAGGCACAGGACCGGCAGATCACCCGTAGAAACACCACCGAATCTGCCTGACTGCCGTGCTTGGGGCAGCAAAAAACATAGAGCCGCCCCTGACCACAGCAGAGTGTGCATGCCTGTGTGTGTGGGACACAGACAAGGTGTGTGTGTTGGGCGACACAGATAACCACGGGGGGGGGGAAGGGACGCACAACCAAAGCAGTGTGTGGACGGAGAGAGACAGAGGCGGGGACAGATAACCACAGCAGAGCGTGTGTGTGTCGGGGACGGGGGACAGACACCCACAGCAATGTACGTGAGGAGAGGGGGAGGAGGAGGCGGCGGCGCACACACGTGGGGAGGGGGACGGGCTGCCCTAGCCATGCCCTTGCAGGCCCGGCCCGGCGTTACTCACTCGCGGTGCCAGAGCTCCCGCAGCCGCTCCCAGCCCGTGTCCGGGGGCTGCGCGGTGCCGATGTGCCGGGGCGCCGAGCCCAGCTCCGGGCCGCTCCCGGGGGCCCCCATGCCCGGCTGCTGCCGCGGGAACCGCGGGCTGGCTCCAGCCTCCAGCCCCGCAGCAAGGAGCGCGGCCCGGTCCCGGACGCCTGGGTCCCCCCGGCCCCGCCTCACTGGCGGCAAGAGCGGCCCGGCTCGGCCCCGCTCCGCCCCCTGCCGCCCGGGAGGGGCAGCGCAAGCAGCGGCCTGGCCCCGCCCGCCCATCCCCCGCGCAGGGGCCGGGCTGCACCTCGGCTGCCCCCGCGCCCCATGGCTCTGCCCGCGCGGCCCTGTCTGCCCGTTCATGGGCGCTGCACAACGCGCTGCACCAGGGCCCCAGGGGGCAGCGCCCAGAGGGCGGCATGTGGCACGCTGGGATCCCGACCCCTGGGCATAGGCGCTGGAACGTGGGGTGCTGCCTGGAAGCGGTTTCCGTCACATAACAGGGTTTACAGTTTGGTTCAGTGGCTCTCAGCACCCCCCATTATACAAATTGTTCCAGCGCCACCACCCCATGGAGCACAAGCAGCCAAGTGTACAGGCACCCAAGCAATATCCCAGGGGTCGGCCACCTTTCAGAAGTGCTGTGCTGAGTCTTCATTTATTCACCCTAATTTAAGGTTTTGCATGCCAGTAATACATTTTAACGTTTTAAGAAGTTTTCTCTCTATAAGTCTATCTTATATAACTAGGCTATTGTTGTATGTAAAGTAAACAAGGTTTCAAAGTGTTTAAAAAGCTTCATTTAAAATTAAATTAAAATGCAGACCCTCCCCCCACCCCAGACCGGTGGCCAGGACCCAGGCAGTCTGAGCGCCACTAAAAATCAACTCATGTGCCGCCTTTGGCACACCTGCCATAGGTTGCCTACCCCTGCAATATACCAACAGCAGCAGCTGTACAGCCACATAACTTGCATCCACTATAGCTTGTAGTGTAGACATGACCTAAGAGCCACCACCTTAACACCAACCCCTTCTCTCTCCATTAACCAAGGAAAGAACCTCAAGCACACGAACACTCTCTTTCTCTCTCTCCCTGTCCCCCAATGGCTTGGAAGATGCATACCTCCTGCTGACCAAGGAAAATGCTTTCCCCCAGCAGACTTTCACTCCCTCTCTCTCCACAGCTTGGAAGATGACTGCCTAGTGCTAAGCAGAAGCAGCAGCTTTCAGCCAGCAGAAAGCAGAAAACAAGGCAGCCCAGCTGCCCAAGATCCAGTGAACATACACATCTGTTGGAGTACACATCTCAGGAATAATGTCATCAACACTCACCGGCTGTAGTCCACGAAAGCTTATGCTCTAATAAATTTGTTAGTCTCTAAGGTGCCACAAGTACTCCTGTTCTTTTTGCGGATACAGACTAACACGGCTGCTACTCTGAAACCTGTCATTTTATCACAAACTTCTTAGTTATGTTCCCCACCCCACCCCCCGGTTCCTGGACTCAGGTGATTTTTGTGAGGCGCAGCTTTCATTTAAAAAAAAAAAAGGTACGTTTGTAGACCTCCTGGGTGTGGAGAAAAGCTTGAACATGACCTAAGAGGATCCAGTGGGCTCAGAAACCAGAAGCAAATAAAAATACCCCCACCCCATTTATTACACCTTTACCTCGATATAACGCTGTCCTCGGGAGCCAAAAGATCTTACTGCGTTATAGGTGAAACCGCGTTATATCGAACTTGCTTTGAACCGCCAGAGTGCGCAGCCCCCCCCCGCCCACCCCCTCCGGAGCCGCTGCTTTACTGCATTATATCCGAATTCGTGTTATATCGGGTAGCGTTATAGTGGGGTAGAGGTGTATTTTTAAGCCAATCAAATTAAGTGTAGGGACCTGAATGCTTGTGGTTGGTATGACTGATAACTGCACTAGATTATTCAAATCCAAGAAACTCCAAATCCTGAAAACCTGGATTCCAGCTTAATAGAGCCCACAAAAATAAACACCAATTTGTTTCTCAGGGTGCTTTCCAAAGTAATAGACCATGCAATATACAGTAGAGGGGCAATCTACTCATAGGAAATAATTTGATGAATTGTAATCTTTTTTCCCCATTTTCAAATTATCCCAAAACAGACTGATTTCTACTGATTTGTTCATTATTAAAAAGTATTTAACACTTTATGCAACTGTATTTCAGCCTATAGGCTAATTGTGAACTGTTCACTTCTGCAATTTATGGTGTCTGATTGGTCACCTAACTTATATGGTCTTGTTTCTGCTTTTTGATTGCCTGAGAATTTTATAAGTGAGGAAGAAAAATAAAAATATTTCATGACAACCATGGAAACACAAGCACAAGTTTTTCTAGGACTTACACTTTCTGCCAACATTCATGTAAGAAAAAAAAATTACATGTACAAATATTTGTGGAAAACTAATAAAAAGGGTCACCAAGAACATTGGAGCAAAGTTGTAGCTTTTATTTGAACTAATGTTTATGAAGAACGTTTGGCAATACTGGCCCACTTCTATTACACATGTAGCACCACTGAAATACAAGCACCTCCAAAGTGGAACATGGCAGCCAGCACACAGTACAACAGCCCGGAAATGGGATATGCCAACCCTCACTTTATCAAAAATTACTAGGGAATCTTTAATGTCCACACAAAGTACAAAAAGGATCTTGGTTTGTAAGATTTCATTGGCCTCCCTTCCCCAGTAAAGGGCAAGGGGCTCCATTTATCTACTTCCAAAAGAGATATGGCAGGTTCAGCCCTATTGTGATTTGAATGTAGGGTGATCTGACAGCAAATGTGAAAAATTGGGACTGGGGTGTGGGGGGGTAATAGGAGCCTATATAAGAAAAAGACCCAAAATTCGGGACCGTCCCTATAAAATCGGGACATCTGGTCACCCTATTTGAATGTATGGTTGGAGGAAGTTGTGTTTCAATCCTGATGCTTAGGTCATTCACACCAGTGCCTCTGCTTACGGTTCCTTACATTACAGTTCTCTGTATGGTTCAGTAGGATAAAAGGGTATTTTAAAAAAAATACAAGAAATGAAACCAAAGCTATATTCCTTTTTGAAAATGCAAAAGTATAGTTCAGGGAAACCTTAACCATACTGTACCCAGAACAAAAGAGGGAGTAGTACTTCCCCCCCATACCTCACAATCTACAATCCTGAGCTGGTCCTTGTGTACTTTAGAGTTCATACCTTTTTTCTTCTTTTTAAATTCTGACTGGAAAATTAGTGCTAATGCTCTAGAGGCTAAGCTCTTGCTGTTTATACCCATTCAAAATGCTGCTGGAAATGATAATTTGCCTGGCTCATTGCTTTGACTACGTCATCCCTTTCTATCGCTCCATTGGCCCATCCTTCTCCATCTCATCGAGTACAAACTACATACCTTCCCTTTCAGAGCCCTTCCCAGCCTATCCTCACCTTACCCATCATATATGCTGTTGAGTTGGCTCCTGCCTCTGCATTGCTAATGATGCCAGCCTTCATCACCCACTTGTTACATTTTTTAAAAGCACCTTCATATTCTCTCCCAGGCTGCCCCTCAAGCTTGGGAGGAGCTTCCCATAAACACCTGCAAAGCTATATCCTTGTTCTCCTTCAAATCCCTCCTTAAAGCTCCCCTTTGCCACGATGCCCACAACAAACTTGACAAGTTAGCCAGCTAGTGTGCTGAGACCTCTGCCTATCATACTTTCCAGTATTGGCTCACTGTTTCCTTGGGCTCCCCAGTCTCTGTCTGTATTCACCTGTTGTCTCGTCTTAGACTGTAAACTCTCTGGGGCAGGCACTGTCTTTTTATTGCATTTGTACACTGCCTATCACAGTAAGATCATGGTCCTTAACGAGGGCTCCTAAACCACAGCTGCACTACAAATGATATACTCACAGAATAGGGCAGTTTTAACACACTGCCCCAAGAATGTGTTTAAATGTTACTCTGGAGGGAGAAACCACCCCTAGGGTGGAGATGGGACTTCAGTCTCCTGTCAACGCAATCTTTGGCTTCTCTGCTGAGACAGGCAACAAGGGGGTCAATTAGTTGCACCTGGTTTAGTGATGTGACCACCTGCCTACAAGGAAATGAACTCAGTTCCCTAAATTATTTCACATGAGCCACTGAACAGCTATCAGGTGGTAACAATTTTTAATCTCTACCAATTTTGGACAAGATTTGAACTAGTGACTTAAGGTATATCTACACTTATGGTGATGTGTAGATTACTAACACTGTATGCCCAGCTAGCATGGGTATAAATAACAGTGCAGACGGGGAGACATGGCTTAGGTGAGCAGAATGCCCTCCATGCCTGAACCCCCAGGGTATATACCCAACATGGTTCTCTACACACCCAAACAGTGCCTTCCATGTCTACACTACTTTTACAAGTGTAGTGCCCTGCTGCCTTTCTGCTCTCTGAGCCTTTTCCAGTCACATGTAGCTACACACCACGACAAAGGTGGACACGGCCTGTCTTTCACTGTAGCATGTAGCAACACGTGTAGTGCCTGTAGTCTACATGCTCTCAAGTATAAGTATAAGATGCAAAAGGCTCCACTTCTCAATCCCATTCCCATGAGCTATCCAATTCCTCTAAAAACATCTCCCTAAAGAGAACAAATGGTAAGGAATGTATATATTACTACATCCTGTTGGGCAGAACAGCTGTTGACTGTCCAGTTCCTTTATTACAATAGAATCATTCTTTTGATTGAGAAATAATTCAGCCAATAAAAAGAGTTGTTGATTTTTTGTTTTTAATCCAAAAGCACTTCATTAAAAACAAAAGGGTTTAAAAATACAGTAGATAAATCTGTTCTATCATTTCAGATAATTCCATCTCCTTATTAAAACCTGTCATTCAAGCTTTTATTAAAAAGTCTTCCAATATTACACAGTTCTGACTCCAAGATATTCATTTCCTGATTTCATTCTTTTACATGCTGGGTCAGCCCAGATAGTGGTCCTGTAATTGGTGCTCTGCACTGGAAACTGATGTTTGCCTGTCATGTCTAGTCCTTCTTGCCCTGTACTGGGGCCTGATGTTGGAGTCTGTTTGTGTGTGAGAACTCTGCAGCACCCCAATCTGCCAGAAGTCAGAAAAATCAGGTCACGGCTTTTTCTACTCCTCTGATTCAGTTGCCAAAGGAGGAGGAGAGGGTAAGTAGTTGCTTCCATCTCCCCTCTGTTTCCACTCCCCATCCCACCAGTTATCTCGGTAGCACATGGCCAGCCGAGTTGCGGTACTCACATGAGATGCAAGAACCTCAAAAGAGTGAGACCCCAAGCAGTTGCTTACACTGTTGTGCTTTCAGACAGCCTTAGCACTTTATTTCATTCTGCAGTGAGCCCACCACAGAACTAAGGAGCCACGTTGAAAGGCTGCAAAAAAGAAGTGCTCCAGTGACATCCAACCTTGCATATTCAAAGCCAATGTGCTGAGAATCATGCAAGCTGGTTCTGTTAGCACAGCATGTACATGGTCTAGAAGGAGACAGAGTCTCAACTCACAGAGATGGACAATTCACAGCTTACATGGATAAGACAGAGGAGGTTACTCACCCTGTGCAGTAACTGACGTTCCTCGAGATGAGTGTCCCTGTGGGTGCTCCACTCCAGGTGCTGGTGCATCCCTGCGCCTTCACTCAGAGATTTTTACAGCAGTACTCGTACCGGTCACGCATGCGCAGAGCCTGCCCCCCAACCCCCCCTCTCTGAGTGTACCTTAATAGTACGCATGAGCGACCGGTCTCCTCAGTTCCTTCTCTACAACGGAGGCTACCCCAATGCATCTCGAAAAATGTCAGTTACTGCACAGGTGAGTAACAACAACAACAACAACTTCTTCTTCAGATGTTCTTGTGGGTGCTCCACTCCAGCTGACTTAAAAGCAGTGTACCTCAAGGAGGTAGGGATTTCGGATTTGGTAGGAATGCAGTAGATAATACAGCTCTGCCTAATCATGTATCAGAGAGAGGGCCTTGAGTAAGGGCATAGTGCTTAACAAATGTGTGTTCAGAAGACCAAGCGGCCACTTTACAGATGTCAACCAGGGGAACTTTGCGTAGAAAAGCCACGGAGGTAGTCACAGATCTAATGGAGTGAGTTCTGATGCCGACAGGAGGCGTAACTTTCTTTATCTGATAGCACAGTCGGATACACTCAAAAATCAAGTTTGAAAGTCTCTGGGTAGAAATAGGTGTCCCTTTGGAACGCTCCGCAATGGAGACAAAGAGTCTAGAAGAGTTCCTAAAGGGCTTGGTTCTATCCAAATTGAAGGACAAAGCCCTGCGTATATCTAACGTATGCATTGTGGATTCAAAAAAGCTTGCATGTGGTTTAGGAAAGAAGGTTGGTAGGTGTATTGGCTCATTGCTGTGGAATGATGAATGCACCTTTGGAAGAAATTTGGGGTGTAATCGAAGGGTAATCTTATCCTTAAAAAATAGTGTATACGGTGGGTATGCCATGAGAGCTGCTATTTCTCCTGCCCGTCTGGCGGAGGTGATTGCCGCTAAGAATGCTGTTTTCATAGAGAGGCGTAAGAGGAAGCAAGTGGCTAGGGGCTCGAATGGTTGTTGAGTTAAGCAGGATAATAATAAGTGACGGTCCCACGGAGGGGTAGGAGGTTTAATGTCTGGGTATAGGGATTGGAGTCCTTTGAAAAAACGCTTGGTGATTGGATGAGCAAAAACAGAGGTATCGTCAATCTTGTCATGAAAAGTTGTAATTGCGGCTTAGTGGACTTTGATGGAGCTGAAAGAAAGGCCAGATTGCTTAAGGTCTAACAGGTAGTCAAGTACAAGTGGAAGAGGTGCAGAAGTAGGAGGATGTTGTTTAGTTGAACACCATATTTGAATCGCTTCCACTTTCGTAGATAGGGGATGCGAGTAGATTGTGTTCTGCTATGTAGGAGCACTCTTTGAACCTGCTCAGAGCATGCTAGTTCGTTTTGGGAGAACCATGTAGGAACCAAGCTTTGAGGTGAAGCATAGACAGTTTGGGGTGAAGAAATCATCCATATTGCTGTGATAGGAGATTTGGAGTGAGGGGCAACGAAATTGGTGGGCGAATTGACATTCTGGTGAGGAACAGAAACCATGGTTGTCTGGGCCACGACGAGGCAATCAGAATCACTGTGGCATGATCTGTTCGTATCTTTGTCAGAACTCTGTGGAGAGCCGGTATCGGGGGAAAAGCACAGAGTAAGTCCTGGTGTCATGGGACCATAAATACATCACCCAGGGAATGTTTGCCCAGTCCCGCTCTGGAGCAAAATTCGGGACATTTAGTGTTTTTTGCAGTTGCAAAAAGGTCTATGGTTGGGTAGCCCCAAATGTGGAATATGTTGCAGATGATAGTCTCATTTATCGCCCATTCTTGATCCCAGGGAAAGCGTCTGCTTAATTCGTCCGCTGTGGTATTCATAGCTCCGGGAAGATAGGCGGCTGATATCCGGATGTTATTCATAAGGCACCAATTCAAGAGCTTCACAGCTTCTGTGCAAATCAAGTGAGAGCAAGCGCCTCTCTGCCTGTTTACATAGAACACGCAAGAGATGTTGTCTGTCATTATCCATACATGTTGGTTGCGGATTAATGGGAGGAAGTGACGGCAGGCGTTGCGTATGGCTCGAAGTTCTAGGACTTTTATGTGCAGGGAGGTTTCGGTTGCAGACCATAGCCCCTGGGCTGTGTGGTGGGACATGTGTGCACCCCACCCTGTGAGGGAAGCATTTGTAGTCATTATGAGGGATGGAGCATCCTGGAGAAAGGGGACTCCTAAGCAGAGGTTGGAGGGAACTGTCCACTATAGGAGAGAGTCTGACTCTAAAAGGTATGAATAGAGGCTTGTTTAGAGTGTGTACATTCGGTCTGTAAACCATGGCCAACCAAGCTAGGAAGCACCTCAAATATAGTTGTGCATTTTGGACCACGAAAGTGCACTGGGCCATGTGACCTAATAGTTGTAGATAGCCTCGAGCGGTGACTGTTGCGAAGTTTTGTTGTCAATAGCTTTATGGTGTTGAAGCGATTGGGTGGGAGAGATGCTATTTCCATCTGGGAGTTGGGGTGTGCTCCTATGAACTCCAGGTGCTGGGTAGGAGACAACGTGGATTTGTTTTTGTTTATTTGTAGGCCGAGGACCAGGAAGCAAGCGACAGTGAGCTGCGTGAATCAAAGTGCTTCATCGAGCGTTGAGGCTTTGAGTAGACAATCGTCAAGGTAAGGAAATATTATGACCCCTTGTTTCCTGAGGTAGACAGTGACTATGGCTAGGAGCTTGGAAAAAACATGGGGGGGTGGATATGCTGAAGGGTAGCATCCTGTATTGAAAATGTGTAGAGCCGAGGGTAAAACGAAGGAAACGTCTGTGGGCCGGATGTATAGTAACATGAAAATAGGCATCCTATAGGTCGAGGGCTGAAAACCAGTCACCCTGCTCCAGCGCTGGGATTATGGTGGTGAGGGTAACCATTCTGAACTTTTGCTTTTTGATGAATTTATTGAGCCGCCTGAGGTCGAGGATCGGTTGCCATCCCCCGGTTTTCTTTTCTGTTAAGAAATAATGGGAATAAAACCCTTTTCCTCGGTGTTGTTCGGGCACAAGTTCCACTGCTCCCAATAGAAGGAGATGTTGTACATCTTGGAGGAGCAGTTGCTCGTGAGAGGGGTCCCTGAAGAGGGACGGGGAGGGTGGGTGGGTGGGTGGAAGGCAAGGATATGAAAGGGATGGAATAGCCAATTGTGATGACCTCTATAACCCACTTGTCGGTGGTAATGTTCTGCCATTGATGGGAGAATGGCCGTAAGCAGTGTCCAAAAATAGGACATGGGGTGTAAGTGCTGAAGTGGGAATGTTGTTTTCTAAATCCTCAACCAAGGCTTCAAATCTGCTTATTAGTCGGAGGGGGTTGAAACGCTGCCGAGGAATTGGGACGATGACGCTGGTATCTGGGTCTCTGGCGTTGCTGTTGTTGCTCATGTGATCTATGGAAGTGCTGGGTATATGCGGGGTAGCATGGACGCTGGTAAGGTTGATATCTATATTGTCGCCTTATGGTTATAGGGGTTTGAATTCCTAAGGACCAGAGAGTTGCCCTTGAGTCCTTCATTGAATGGAAGTACGTCATTCATTGTGGAGGCAAGAGTTTGTCGCCATTAAAGGGAAGATCTTCAATGGTATTCTGGACCTCTCGAGAAAAGGAAGAGGAGGAGCCCCATGAACCTCGGCACATGACCACTGCTGTAGCAGTGGATCTTGCTGCAGTATTGATTGCATCGAGGGCTGCTTGAAGAGAAGTACATGAGATGATTTGCCCCTCGGAAACTAGAGCCGTGAATAATTGTTTCTTTTCTTCTGGAATGTCATCAATAAAGTCCATGAATTTGTTGTAATTTTTGTGGTCATATTTTGCCAGAACGGCAGTATAATTAGCAATGCGAAATTGTAACGTAAAAGATATATATACTTTACGTCTGAGCAGATCTAATCACTTACTGTCCTGGTCGGATGGGGTGCAGCGGGGAAAACTGGTGTTTGGTCTTTTGGTTGAGTGCATCTACTACCAGCGAGTCTGGCGCTGGATGAGTGAAAAGGAATTCAGAGCCCTTGGAAGGGATGAAGTACTTGCGGACCGCTCGTTTACAGGTAGGTAGGCTTGCAGCAGTCTGCCAGATGGCCGTAGCAGGTTCCAAAAGGGCTGCATTGATCAGTAATGCAGAAGAAGGGGGTTGCAGGATGTCCATTAACTCATGCTGCTGTTTAGGAACCTCCTCCAAGTTAATTCTTAACTCACTGGCAACTCTTTTGAAAAGGTCTTGAAATTTTGAGAAGTCATCCGAAGAAATCGGGGGAGGAGAAAGTAAGGCATCAGGCATAACAACTGGGTCTACTGGATTTGAGGCACGTCATGACCGATCCTGCAGTTGTGACATGATGCCTTACATCAGAGGCAGGTTCGTCAAGGCAGTGCCGGGCAGGTGTCATGCCTGGCTGTGGTGGCATAACGAGTGTGGTCTCGAAGATAAGATGCCCATGGAGCCCAATATTGCCACTGTGGTGGGAAGGGAAGAGGTGGTGCCATCCAGGGGTTTACGCACCACGGGGCAGGATCCTGAGAATAGGACGAGGTAATTTTTCTATGACCTCTATTGATTGGGGTCTGAGGATGGGAGATTTGATATGGTGAAAATTCTCCCTGCAGACCAGCTTCCTCATCACTGGAGGAAGGCTGTGCGGACCCTGACTGAGCATTTGGAGAGAAGTAGGCATTAAGTAGGGGTGACTGCAGGATAGGTGACACCAGCCAGTCCTTTGACTGTGTAAACTGCGGTGCTGGAGCTCCTCTGTGAGGTGAGGGCTGTGCAAGAGGAATCTGCTGTGAAGAAAGGTTCCTCTGCACCGGTGTCCTGAGCCTTGTTTCACTGCCAGTCAGCTCAGCGGGAGACGGTGCCGGGAGAGTAAGAATAGCCTGCGGGGGGTCAGGCATGTCAGCATGTGTCGGCACTGCTTCCTTTGCGGAGCCGAACGGTGCCATGAGAGAGGCAGGCAACTGGAAGCCTGAAGCCTTGGCACCGGAGTTTTGTGCTACCGCCGCAGCCGCATTTCACACAGCGCCAGAGGAGCCCAGAGCGTCAAAAGTGCTCAGCCAAGAGGGAGGCTGTAGACCTGCCCGGGGAAGTCTTCTCCTACGAAGTTCCCTTTGCGGGTGAGAGAAGGTGCCGTTCTTTGAAGTTTTTTTTATCTTCCTTTGAGGTGGGGCAGGGGGGAGGCTGTGGTGTGCAGCAGAGTCGGCACCCAGGTTTGAAGCTGACCCTAAGGATTTCTGAAAGAGGAGCGTTTTAGTGTCAGCTTCTTGTCCTTCCATTCCCTGGATTTAAGCTTGCTGCAGTGGGCACATTTTTGGGGGATGTGGGACTCCCCCAAACATTTTATGCATTTTGAATGGCCATCCGAAAGAGGGATGGCATCATTGCAGGTAGAGCAGCGCTTAAAGCCTGGGGAGCCAGGCATGTCAGAAGCAGCTGTCGCTGACAGGAACGAAGAAAAAAAATATATTTATTTATTTTGATAAATGGTAACTAAGTACTACTGGTAACAAACTAACTAACCAGGAAGGAATTTGAACAAAGGGAGAGAAAGTCTCTAACAAGTCTGCTGAGCTCCGTCTCAGGCCAGAGATGGTAGAGAAGGAACTGAGGAGGCACACATACTATTAAGATACATTCAGAGCAGAGGGGAGGCAGGAGGCAGGCTCTGCACATGCGTGACCGGTACAAGTACTGCTGTAAAAATCTCCGAGCGAAGGCGCAGCAACGCACCAACACCTGGAGTGGAGCAACCACAGGAACATCTCTTGAAGAACCACCCAATTTTTAAAACATAAGGTAAAAGTGTCCAAAGGAATGCACAGACTAAAACCTCCATCCAGCTATCCTTGGTCAAAAGACAGGCGGTCTTTATGCAAGGCCTTGAGATTATTTAGGGCAAATGCAAGGGATGGGAGGCATACACCTTAGGGTAGCAAAGGCAGAGAACATTGTGCATTATGACTGCACCTCTCATCTCAGGATCAGAGAGCACTTTAAAAACATTCATCCATCATCAAAACCCCTCAGTAGAGGTAGGAAGTTTAGCTGTTCAAAGGTACTTTTTAGTGTCCAACATGGCGTTAACATCTGGGTGCTTTACAGACTTAAAAAAACAACAACCCTAACCTACCCATAACGGTAACCTAAAATCCCAACCACGGCTGCTGACAGGAAACACTTGTTCCCAAACTGCCATCACACAATCACAATAACGTTGGCAATTTGCCCCAAACAGGAGTATACCTACATGGAGGGAGGCACAGAGGTGTTTAAATGACTAGCCTGAGGGCACATAGAGCCTGGGGCCTGATCCAAAGGCCACTGATGACTCCCACTTACTGCAATGGACTTTGAATCAGGCTCATAGTGAGTTAGAGATAGGGGTGGTAACAAAACCCATGAATCTTGATTGCCAGTTCCCTGCTCTAAGCACTGTTCTCCAGGAGTTTGGGGTCTAGCTAACATGATTCAGTCTCATGGTACACAAACTGTTTTGAAGTAACAACAATGCTGCTTGCTGTAGCTTTACAGCAGTGGTTTTCAAACTTTTTTCATTTGCAGACCCCTTTGGAAATTTTGAATGGAGGTGTGGACCCCTTTGGAAATACATTGTCTGTATATATACATCTCTACCTCAATAGAACGCTGTCCTCGGGAGCCAAAAAAAAACCTTACTGCATTATAGGTGAAACCACGTTATATCGAACTTGCTTTGATCCGCAGGAGTGCGTAGCCCCACCCCCCAGGGGTGCTGCTTTACCGCATTATATCCGAATTCGTGTTATATCGGGTCGCGTTATATCAGGGTAGAGGTGTAGTTGAATTCTGTTCAGTCAGTTTTCAGTCTAAGACTTTCATGGACACTTCAGACATAGTCCGCGGACCCTGGTTGAGAACCACTGCTTTAGAGTATGAGATAATAAATCTGAGGGAAGAAGAGTAACAGAAGGTACACCAGTTTTTGGATTTTCAGTGACCACCAGCCCCAGGCCTTGAATTGGAAAGAGAATCACAATGGTTTTAAAGTTCTGTTTTCAAGTGTTTGGAGACAATCTCATCATAGTTTTTCCTCCTCTTAACTTTGTAAGTCAGAGCTTTAGAGTATTCAGTCAGCAGAGTCTCCCAGTAACAAGAGACGTCCTCCATCTGCAAGTGGTCCATGATGAACTGGTGCCCCCTGGAGGCAAACAAAAATAAAGTGACAGCTCAGAGTCAAACTTTGTTCCTGTAAGATGAAAAATCCTTGGATTTAGCTATTTTAGTATCAATTTTCCCAGATTTTTTTTTAAATGGGGAAACATGAGAATTTGGATGTACAGTGCTATATACTGTTTATTATTAATATTAATATGACACGTTTCATTACCACTAGCAGCTCTGATGACTAATTATTCACAAGACAGGTACAGCCTAGGGAGTGGCACTGCAAGCTTCCCCTACATTGCCCCACCTTCCTCTACATTGCCCTGTTTGACATTTATTGGCAGTGGTGGTGGCAGCATTTTTGTGAAATGGACATTTGTTCACTAGGGCTAACTCATTTTGTACAGTGAACAAAAGTTATCAGTATCTGATACCTCTTTGGGGGACTATTGACATGGGTCAGATTTGAACAAGAGGCCTAGAGGTGAAGAGTTCTGTTATCAATACCCTGCACTCGCCACTCTCCCTGCTTTCACTGCTGAAGATAGATACATTGTGCGCTGTTATCACCAGGCTGTCCTTGACAGGTATCTCTTTTGAATGCTGGGTGGTACAAAGAGTATTGGAGGATGGGTGTTTGACAATCAGGAAGAATACACAATTTACCTCTCTGAAATTTCTTGTGCTAGATCATCATTTTCCTTCACAAACTGCAACAACTCCCTAAAAGGAAAAAGAAAAATTGCAACTAAGTATTGGCTCAGTGCATAATACCGCACACCCAGCTAGTGTGTTGTGGCAGAACTAGACTTGGGGATCCTAAAGCCAAGCATGTGATTGGTGCTGCTACTTTCATAGCCAAACTTTCATACCAGTCTTGGGGGGAGGGCAAAGGGGAAATCTGAATTCTGGCAGCTGACAAACATTTGGAACCATTAACGGCTAAGATGACTGCTCTCCTTTTTACTCTAAGTCAGAAATTCTGAGTCTCAATTTTCACTTCTAACCTTTAGGTTCAAGGTGTGCTGAACATCGGAGACATCCTCCTGGCCCAGATCTCAGAATAGATATTATTACTAAAAAGGTAAGTCATAATCAAAAATACCCTCAATAATCAAACTTATGTTAGAAGAATGTCAACATTTATTGTGTGCCTCTAATGAGCCCAATAATATATTCTTCTTCTACATGTCTATGGCTCTAAACTATTTCCTGTATGATTAATATGCACTGAGAATTTTGTTTGTTTCTTTTACAAAGAAAGGAGAATGACACATATACATCCCCTCTGTCTAAGGGATCAGCAAATGCCACATGATGTTCTTTCTACCTTTGGTGCACTGAATACGAGCAGAGCGTGGGTATTTGTCAGTATAACCCAAGCCTGATCATACCTTGAGTAGCATGGGTAGCATAGAGTCCACTGCATGAAATACTCTGCATAACACACTTGGGATCTTTGAGTCATTCCAGAAAATCACCTGTAGTCTCCTACCTGACATCAGAGAGGTCTGGTTTGACTGGGATGTAATGTACCCAAGGCTTCAGCTGTGGGTAGAAGAACTCCAGCCACTCTTCCCCTACGTGAAAGACTAATGAGCCACACAAGAAGAGGTGTTTGAAGCGGAAACTGGCTGCTACCCCCCGGAAATTAAACAGGTATCTGTAAAAAGAGAAGCAAAGAGAAATTTGATTTTGTATTGGCATTCCCCATCTACTAACTCAGGATTTTTTTAAATCACTTTTTTGAAACTTTGGCTGTTTTTAAAAATCTGAAATGCTAAGTGCCCTCACCTCAAATGAAAAATGTGCGTGGAGAGACTAGGTTCTAGCTAACGAGTTTGCATTTTCCATCCGCCCTGACTCTGATGTAAGAACTAGTGAGAAAATGAGAACAAAGATACTTCACCTGCCAAGGTCAGATTTCAGGTTCCTTATTTCCCTGTTTACATTTTATAGCATTACTGAGTCCTGTACCAGACCAAGAACTGCATTTCTTATGCCATGGAGATTAGCAACATAAACAACTGTAGAGAACCCTGAACTCAGGGTTTGGTAGGGAAATAAAAAGGACATGCTTAATTTTAAACATTTTGGTTTAAGGGAGGCTTTTGTAGTTAGTTTCCACACAACCCTTCAGTTCTCCTTTACATTCCAGACTTGGCAGTCTCTTGACACTGACATTTAAAGAGGCCAAACTAAGCTCTCCCAAACCTTCAATTGACTCCACATAGGTGCAGAGATCTGACTGCCTGCATGGATTCAGTTGCAGGATTGGGGCCTTAAAAAGAAAATGATGCATTAAAACAAACAAGCCTAGCAACACTAACAATCAGACAAGATTTCAGCAGCTCCTGAACAGATTTATTGAGCAAAACCTCACTTGTATTTGCAGTGATCGACCAGAGGAATTTCCTTCGCAGGCGGTTTCCCAAGAGTGTCCTTCAAGAAAAAGAGACTTAAAAAATTAATTCAGTTCAATTTATTTTCTGATTACATTTTGTGTGAGGCTTCTTTTTCAACAAACCATAAATAAGGCTGAAGTCTCAAAAGTCTCCCTGGTCATAGGAAACCAGTTTGGCTTCTAATTGCATTAGCATCTTTGGGGGCCTCTCTCATCTTTACCTGAGAAATATTCTCCGTACGTTACAAACATTCTACAAACAAGTCTCTTACTTAATGACTGTAAAGAGGGTTGGGCTTTAGCAATTCATTTTCCTCATCTCTGTGTGCACTGGAACTTTTAAGTTAATAGTGCTGGGGGAAAGTGTTGTTGGTTAGTGTCCAGGAACTGTCAAAAAGCCTCCAACTTGTCCACAGAAGAGTTAACAGTCAGCCGCAGTGAGAGCTTCCCCCATCACAGAGGAAGGGTTGCAACCTCTTGAGCAGACGCAGATAGCAAAAAGCCATGTTGGTCACTGACTCCCAGACCCTCATCCTCAACAGACAGGCAGCAGATACACACACCTCAATCACAGGGGCCAAAATAATCTTTGCTACTGTCTCTGGTTGCTTCTCCCACATGTCCAAAACCTCAGTGAACAACAATGGCTTAAACTCGAGCAGAGAATGCCCAGCCCTCCATCCCCTAAAGAGCCTGCTCTGCTACCAGAGTCTGAATCTAGGTGATTGTCTTTGCAAACTGACAAGAATTTTCCTCACTGATAATGAAATACCTCAGTCCAGCTTCCTAGAAGCTGCAGGGGTAAAATGCCCTAAGTGGGTCAGATCTTTCTTCTCAGAACCGCAGATGGTTGTTATGGGCAACAGTTCCTCCACAGCCCTCATGCGTGGAGTCCCACGGGGCTCTACCCTCCCCTCCCCACTATTGTTCAACACATATATAAAGCCTTTGGGGGAGCAGGTCAGGCAACCTGGGCTGAAGTGCCAGCCATTTCCAGATGACAGCACCCAACTCTATATCAAACATGAGCAGCACAGTCTCCCAGATTTCTCAATGCCTAGCCAAAAGCAGCACCTGAAAAAAGGACAGCTGGCTAAAGCCAAACCAAGGGAAGAATGAGACTAATGCTGGTAGAAGAGGGAAGCACTTCAAAGAACTTGCTTCCCCCACTATTGAGGGCATCTGCCCTCAGTTTGTTAAGTCGGTCTCTAGCTTTGGGGTTCATTTGGACAGATTAAGGCTACTAGATGCTCAAATAACCAGGGGGGCAAAAGATAAAAAGAAGATTGTGCTCTAGTCCATCAAACACAGACTGGGCTATAGCAATCCATGAGTTCATGACCTCCTGGTCTGGTTACTGCAACTCTAGGACTGAAGCCACCCACCCTGGGAAAGCTCTAACTGGAATAAAACACCAGTAGCATCACAGGTCACCCTGACCACATCCCTCCAGTGCTCCACTCTCTATATTCAGTAGGGAGTGCATGCAGAATTCACTCCAAAGTAGGGTGACCAGACAGCAAATGTGAAAAATCGGGACAGGGGTGGAGGAGTAATAGGATCCTATATAAGAAAAAGACCTAAAAATCAGGACTGTCCCTATAAAATCGGGACATCTGGTCACCCTACTCCAAAGTCCTTTCCCTGCTATTCAAAGCCCTCTGTTGGATTGACCATAGCTACCTGTGAGAGCCTCTCTCCCTCTGAGCTCCCACAACAGTGAAACTATCAACCACCAGGGGGAGGTTCACAAGTGCTGGAAACAGAACTTCAAAGGACTTGTGTTACACTATGGGACTTACGCCTGAAATGACCCTGGCTCTCGCTGCATTCAGATCTACATGGAAAACTCCTCTCTCTGATGCCACTTTCTCTTAACCTCTTTTCTCTCTCTCACACATACACACAATAAAAAAACTCCTCAAGTTATTTATACTACAGACTGGGCGAAGGGGGAGGGCTTGGTACTTATTTTTAAATACTTGTGAGATGCTCAGAGACTGCAGTGATGGAGGCATGCATGTACCTACATTAGACAGATACAGCCATCAGATGGCAATAATTTGAATGCCTGACTTAGAAGTGGCTTAAATAGTGACACAGCCTCCCCCACCAATATTATCACCAGTCTCCTAAGAAGCAACATTTACATAAAGCACTTGAAATTGCCCTTTTTAAACGATTGCTTCCTAAGTTGCTTATGCAGTTGGCTCATTAGCAGTTACTTTTTCAGATTTCCAGGCCTGGTTTTTAGTGTACTCAGCATCGACGAGTTCTGGGTTCTCTCGAGACAGAACAATGAGGGGATCCCTCTCAGGACTTGTTCTGCAAGAGAAACAACATTCAAATCAGTCAGTGCCATTCTGCATGTCTCCAATTCTGCACGTCTGCATGCCAGTCAACTAACAATGGGATTCAAGACAGAAATACCTCCTGGTCTCTATCAGACTGGCTCTTGTGTGGCCTGAAGGCAATATTGCTAAATGCTGCTCACAATATCTGTAGGAGGACATAGCTGGTGGAAAGGGGACAGGGGAAATGGAATAAGTAAGTGATATTCCCTTATCCCATTTAGTTTTAAGTAGTATATTCTTTAAACATTATTCAGAACAAATCAGCAAAAGAACTATTCTCTTAGTGCCTGATCCTGAGAGGTGCGGACTACTCTCAATTTATATCTAAATTATGAAGTTCAGAGATGTTTAGCATCTTTTAGGATTAGGCCCTTTGTTAGGAGAAAAATTAACATGGGTGTGACCTGAATGAAATCTTAATTCTCTTTGCCTCCTGAATACACTATTGAGAGTCACAAAGTCTGTTTTCTTAAATGCACAACCTATAAACAAATAGGAAAAAAATAGTCTGCTCCTTCCTTACTCCCCCACCATCCAGGTATAATTGCTGTAAGGATACCTGCTGAGTCACTGCTGCAGAGAATTATAAAATAAAGCACATAGATGCCCAAAAAGGAGCTATGATGATACCAGACAAACCTTCCAATGCATATCAAAGTAGCTGTAGTTCCCATTGCAAGGGAAGCGAAATACAGAACAAAAAGAGTCCTTATTCAAACCATTTATTAAGAACTAAAACAGCTGAACTCTTCATAGCACACCCACCACCGCTATTGTTATATGTATATCTTATTACACTAAATTAGTTGCAAATGGCAGCTAATGCTTAGCACATGAGCCAAGAGGATGTTGTACAAGGTGGTGGACCCAATTTGCTTTTTAGAAACATATTTTGGTTACATTTTTTGGTTAGTACTTAGGGTACGTCTATACTTACCTCCAGGTTCGGCGGTAAGCAATCGATCTTCTGGGATAGATTTATTGCGTCTTGTCTAGACGCGATAAATCGATCCCGGAAGTGCTCGCCGTCGACACCGGTACTCCTGCTCCACGAGAGGAGTACGCAGAGTCGACGGGGGAGCCTGCCTGCCGCGTGTGGACCCGCGGTAAGTACCTTGTAGTTCGAACTAAGATACTTCGACTTCAGCTACGTTATTCACGTAGCTGAAGTTGCGTCTCTTAGTTCGAACTGGAGGGTTAGTGTGGACCAGCCCTAAGAGAGAGAAAATTTCACAAGTCCAGACGGCTGACACTATAAGGCACTGCAGCTGGGAGCAAGCCTCCCAGCCCAGGTCGACAGATTCAGGCTAGCGGGGCTTGGGCCAGCACACTAAAAACTAGCTGTGTGGATGCTGCGGCAATGGTTGAGGCTCACGCTAGCCACCTGAGCTTGGATCCAGGGAGCAGGGTGGGTCTGAGCTCGGGTGGCTAGCCCAAGCCTCCGCTAATGCCACAATGTCCACCGCTGCTATTTTTTAGCATGCTACGGCAAGTCTATTTATTCGGGCTGGAAGGCTCGCTTCCAGCTGCAGTACCCCTAAATGCAACCCCATGCAGCTCCACCGCTACTCCTCAAGCCGAACATATTCTGCTTTCTTGCTGATTGAAGCAGAAACTAGCGATTGGACCAAACTCTGTCAGGTAGTTTTCCTCATGAAGTGGACAGAAATAGCAGTGGCCATGTGGTGAGGTGAGGAGTGGCACAAAGCATTATTTGCTGTGCAGCAGTATTTCCCTTTGGCATGGTCTTTGCAATATCGCCTACGCTTAGCACGGGAAATGCCATACCACTGCACATACTGCTTTTTAAATGGCAACTGTTGTGTCAAGTAGTACTTAAAGATCCCCAGAAATAAAAAGCTAGTGCATATTTTCATCAGCCTTATTTTGGTCTTAATTAAACTGGCACCTGTTGGCAGCCTATACTGCCAGAATATCCTGGAGTTGGAAAATGCGCTCACCTGGATCCTCGAAAATATCCTTTGGAGATTTTTTTCTTCCACGGCCATTTTTCTGCAGATCTGGAAATATTTTTTAATATGTGGGAATAAATAATTTAACACAAGCATGAAAAAGTGTCGTCAGTTTCTGCAGTATAGTCACATTTCATTATTCTTGAGGTTTGATGGGAACCAATTCTTTCATTAGAGCAGAAAAACATCTCAGCTAAGCCCAACAAGATAGGCCTTTCCCACAGATGGTAGCTCTCTAGCCAAGATGTTATAGGGGCACTGTCAAGATAACAATCTATACACACAAAAACAAACTCTTTCCTGTGTTATCAGTAACACTGTGAATGATTGAAACTTAAATCATTTTAAAACTCCAGTTCACATTTCACTACTTATGCTGCTGCTTTACTTTTTTTGCATTTCACTGAGCATAGGTCATGCAAATCAAATGGGCAGTTTCTAGGCATTTTCACTTTCTACTTCTCTTGTACATGCAAAACACTGTTAAGTTCCTAACTTTGCCGGCTAATGTTTGCACAAACAGCCTTCATTTTAAATTTGAACAAATCATTGAACCATTAGAAAAACAAAATAAAATGAAAGTTTAAATATACTGTTTGTGTGTCTTATGTGTATGTTCACACCGCCACCAAAACACGTGCATGTCAGAATTGTTATCCCACAAGATTAGTTATTGTAATCCTTGTCCTTTCTTCCCCAATGTTTGTTGCTCTCACTCGTGTCTTGTCTAAAACATGGGCCCCAATCCTGCAGTCAGCTCTGTATAGGGAGACCTTCGCACATGCATGGAGCCCCAATGAAGTCACTGAAGGTCCATATGGGTGGGAGGATCTGCTTGCATGGATCTGATTGTACATTTTTTGAGGTGGAAAGCTATTTTTAAAAAATCATGCCATTAGATGCCTGGCGTAGTTCTGTACTCGAGTAAGGCATTTGATATGGTCTCGCATGATATTCTTATCGATAAACTAGGCAAATACAACTTAGATGGGGCTACTATA